CACAATAGATGGGAATGAAAAGAGCTACAATCGCGTTGTTTTGACCAGTGGTCACCGCGTGACCTCGAGATCAGCCCCCTTTCCCCTATGTCCAATCGACATTTGTGCACCAATTCAGCTCATTCAATATTCTTCCTTCCCCCTGAGTCTGTTGGTCACTACTCAATTCTACAAAAAAAATAACCACAAACATCTCTGTCACAATCAAATACATTCCAACCAAAAAAATGGCTCCCCGTCCAGGAATATACCGAGAGAAGAGAAATTGGTTGATGGTGCTTCAGGATGTGCATTGTGGTTGATGTAGTGAAAGCATTCTCATCACCGGGTGCACATTCGGCCATGCCATCTTCCTGAAATGCTCAACTCATTGTTCTCGGGATATCCCAATGACTCTCATCATCATATCATTCACTTATAATTTTCATCGGACGTACTGCTGAACGGAGTTGATGCTCTATCTGAATATTAAAATGGAACATTAAAAGACTTATAAAGCATAGTCAAATTTTTCCTCTATGTCAGTTTAACAAATGATCGAAAAACATGGTAAGGGTTATAAATTTAATAAAATAATTGACAAATTGAAGTACACTATGATGAACAGTAATACAATATGATCGATTTCTTAGCATTTCAGATCTTTTAAACAGTTAATTCTCATCCATTTTATATAGAATATATTTTCTATTCAGAAAATGTTTCAAATCATCGTTTGACTTTTATCATATTAGCAGTTTTCGAAACAAAATCAACAACAGAGACAGAAGTTACAAGCAAAGAAATTAGGAAGAGATATTTCGACCGATATCTTTATCTGCCCGTTCTTTTATTGACTGTTCATTTTTGTCGTTTATTATCCGCGTTATTTGTGAATCAATTTTAGCTTGTTGTATTGCAACAGGCTTTTTCGGAGCGATCGTCAGTCGATGACCTTTCTTGAGATTTTGTTTTGTGGACTTTATTTTCTTCTGTTTCACACCATTTGGTAGCGATGTCTTCTTCTTCATTTTGTGCTGCACCATTGTTAAGTATCAAGATTTCAATACACCTGTAATTGAAATTAAAAATCTGATAATCATGAACTGCGTGTAAATGACAGTATGTAATTTATGGATCTGCATGTAAATATTCTAAAGGGCTTCAGAAAAACTGTAAAATCTCCCCGTCGACAATACATTTGGCACAGAGAACAAAAAGAGATCGAACGCAGTCCACACTCACATATAATATCACTTTTGCAAAAACAAGTTTTATGAATTTCGAAAAAGGAGTCACTCGAATATTTTTATTGGTAGTTTCACATACACTATAAGCAAAAAAGGAAATAACAAGAATTTCCGGTCAGTAAGAATTTTTGGCAATATAAATAAAAGTCGATTCCGTAAGTTACCCGAGAGAAATAAAAATCCCAGTTATTGACCTCAAGCCATTCCATTTAATCTACTTGTTATTTTGAATGGCATGAAGAATCTTTGATTTAATTCATATAGGGCGAATATAAAGTGCCATTATATGTCTATAAATTATAAAGACAAACAAAATTTGGAAATGCATCCCTTTTTAAAAAAAAAAATGTCTGAAAATGTTCATGGAGTGGAGGAAGCTTCACATAAATGTAAAAAACGACTATTTGATATTCATTAAACTTGTAAAAAATGCGACAACTATGGTCCAGCTGAAAACGCAACTGCTAATTAAAAGCGAAGAATTAAAAAAAAAACCATATAATCATAAACACACAATGCTTACATCGAAAAAAATTTTTTAACTAAAAAAATACATAAAAAATTGGCACTATTTACCAATTATCTATCACTGTTTACAATCAGAGATTATACGCATGAGTAAAGTAATATGAGTTTGCGTGGTATTTAGTATAACATAGTTTTACTATTTGCAAATCAATTACAAATAAAATGTCCATAGAAAAGAGTCAAATAAAGTGTTAAATGGAGCGACAAATTTGGATATGAGAAAACACCTTTTCGTAATATGTAAGAAAGCATGATGTAAACGTGATGCCTCATTTAGAAAACAATACTGAAAGAAGAAAATTAACGTGACCTGAATAATGATTATCACTACCAAAATGAATTATTGAATCAGATGTATTACTTGAATGGTGCAAAATTAGCTAATAAAAGGCGTGACTGAGTAAGCTTTCTGCAATTCAGAAATTGGTTTTTCGAAATGATTTTCCCAGTCAACAGCAATTAACAACCCTGAATTCACTGCCTGTTCTATACATCACGGCAAACATTTTTGTACGAAAGCTCGCTTACGCCTGAAAACACTTTTAAGTTCCTTGCAAATTTGTAAAATTAATGTATTTGTCTTTCTATCCCAAAATGAATTGAATTCAAAAAATAATTTGTCAGCAGAGCTGGATTTTTTTTTAGTTAACTCATCGATTAACCTACTTTGGGTCCAATCTCAAACCACCAAACACACCACCTAGAATACACATTGGTAAACCAAGCTGTATGCCTTCAAAACACTTGACAGTAATCTGAAAATAATTGCTAATTTTCCAGAAAAAAATTTCAGGCAGTTATCATTGCAGCTATCTATCCTTTATATTCATTATTATTTAACGAAGAATAATAAAGTCTGAAGTCATTATGCCATACTTTATATTCCAGTATTCTACGCAACCATATTTTTTGAATTCTGAAACTTCTGAAAATTTCCTTGTATCTAGAGCTTCTTAAATCTAACAAGAAAATATGAAATCTATTAATGTCACATAAATGACAAAATTCATAGGTGACAAAGATGGTATGCACAACAGATTAAAACCATTAAAAATCTCCATCAAATATGTCATCACTTTGCTTTTTGAAATTGACAATACCTTAAATCATATTAGAATACTAGAAGTTTCAAAAGTGAATTTGACAGATTTCTGGTTCAGAAGTTCCACAGTCAGAAATTTGGTCAGTTCACTTTTGATGTCAAAATTGTCAGCCAATTACCATTCTTGAATAATATGAAATCTATCTCTTCGAGCAAAGTAGTCTTCATTTGCAAAATTAGATGAATGAAATCATGCGTTTCGCGATATCTCTGCATTATGCAAATCAAATCGTCATCATCAACAAACTAAAATAAAGATATTGATTGCAAAAACTGATAAAACTAAGAATAATAAGAAATTTAAAATCACTTAAAACAAATCAGAATATCGAGCGAAAATCTCTTTCACTACCAAAATTATTTAACAAATATTATCCACTCCACCGTTGGAGACAGTCCTTAGTACAGACGTTCAACTATTCACCTTATTTGATTTCAACGTTAACGAAACAATAAAACAAAAAATATGAGCATATCAGAAATCATGAAAAAGAGAGCTGTAAAGTTTGGGAGAGAAACCTTGACAGAAGGACGTTCATCTGGAGCAGTATTCAATCTTTCGAGAAATATGGAATATTCTTTGCCAAGTGTTCCACGAGGAAGTGTTCGGAGGTAATTTAAATCAACAGCAGCATTCGTTATTCTTGATCGATCTCTGCATTAAAACAACTCAATAACCTTTCATAAAGTGTGTCTTTAAGTTATTTAACATAGAAAGTTCCAAACTCCAGAATTACTTTGAAAGCAATCAAATGTGCATTACGCAAGTCCAAAGCAGTCCCATCTCTTTCTTACTGTGTATTACAAGTGAATTTGTTTGTGAAAGTGCAAACATTGCCAACAATCAAAGTTTAATAATTTACAAATGCACATATGATCTAGCTATCATCTCTGCCCATCAAACATATTCTCATAAAAAATTTAAACCTTAAAATTTTTCTACCGCATATATCGTCTTCCATTCTTTGACGAATTTTTTCTAATATTGGCCAAAAAGCTGCTGTTTCACCCATTGCTGCTACCATATCTAGAAATTGCTGTCTAATACAGAATTCATTTCAATAAGCAATTAATTTCAAGTTAACCACAAAAAAGCCAGTAATATATAGTGATCATCACATTACACATAAATAAATGTGCACATATACATATACATATACATTACATATACATATATATATATATAGAGGGAGAGAGAGAGAGAGAGAGAGACAGAGACAAAGAGAGAAAGGAAATGACTGAGTTTCACAGTAAACAGTAAAAAAACTGCATTATCTGAGCGCCATATTTGTTTTAAATTTTAGAGAACTTAAGTGTTCTAATTTCTAAGGAAAATTAAAAAACAATAACCTGCTCTCATAGGATTTAAAAGTGCTGTTACTGCCGAACCACGCGCAAGTAATCCTTTTTGTAATGCAGAAGTTGGAATATGTAATGTATTTGGAGCCATTTGCTTATTGTTATCTGAAAAACAAAATGAACTAAGAAACTATTATATAATTTTTAAGCATGATGCCAATATTTAAAAATTATCTAAACCACTTTAAATTCAGACGCTCTCAGATGAAAAAACATGTGCTTCAATCTACTTTCTTCTTCATTCTTGAAGAAATTAAGTTATAATTTACCATGAGACTTCATTTAAAAAAACTTGCAAGACTTCCGCATAGATTTTTACAAATAATGATTTATGATTTAGTCATCAGACTTAGTTTTCCAAATAAACAAGTAAGTCCTCTTGTACCAAATGCTTCCAATTTATTTCATTCAAAAATAATTGACTATAAAAAAGTTACTTCATTTGGCGATATCAATAAGCTCGACGTCTTTTCTGATTCCCTCACTCTTCCTTTTAAGTATCTCCTCAATATTTCTTGAACCGTTGGACTGCGGGAACCAGCCCAAATTATCAGCAATTAAGTGATAATTTTTGCAACCGTCGCAAGTTACAATAACAACACCTTCTTTGTATGCCTTCTTGGAAAGAAATTTTGGACCCTAAACTTTTTTTTTCTTTTGGAGAGGGTTCCATTTTCTATAAGGTAACTGAGAATTTTAAACTAAAACAATTGATTCTGTCGCATATATTATCTATCTACGAACAAAAAAACTGTTATATAATTCTAAACTGCATATAAGCTAAATCACAAATTGTATATAAATTAGAAGCATTGACTACGGCAAATTATACTGCATTGGCAAATTATTAACTAATTAACTCAACTCGCAGAAATTACTCTATCAAATTATAAATCTTTCTAGAAACATTAGCTCTCGCGCTACAACTGTTTTTGTCTGTTGAAATAGTAAATGAATAATTTCAAAAAATCTCGAGAATACTTACCTGTCGAGTACCACAAACCTTGCAGGTATAAGTCAATGACAATCTTCCCTGTAAAGAAACACTGCCCAAGAAGACACGATGTATAATGCGACTTACACGCAGGCACCGAATCAGCGGAGATACCAGTAGCATCAACTCTTTTTCTTATTATCAATAACCCCAATGGTATAATCGCTGAAAATATTATGGAGAGAAATAATCAGTAACAATTAATTATAACTAATGATCTGAATTAGATCAGTAATATTATCAGCGATCTATCTTTAATACCATAAACGTAATTCAAATGAAATTGCCTACCAACAGACGTAAATTCATGCAAATATGGTGCTCAAACAGCCTTTTGTCCATTTCATCATTCTCTGCCATACACAATTCCAATCAATCTATCATATATTATCGAGAGATTCAATCAGTTAATGTTACAATGTAATTATTCAATTTCCTGATTCTAACGAAAGGCAAGATAGGCACACCCACAAACACAACCTGTACCCTCCATTCCCCGTATTGACAGTTCATTTTCACAAGGGTCTTGCAACTTGTACACAAACCTTGTCCTCTTGCTCTCACGTCTATTTCCATCACGTAATATGGTGCTCAAGCACTCTTTTTTCCATTTTATCATTCTCTGCCATACACAATTCCAATAAATCTACCATATTATCGAGAGATTTAATCAGTTAATGTTATAATATAATCATTCAATTTCCTGATTTTGCTGTTAGCCAATTAATACTAATTTCATTATTCAATTCAACCATGTGGTGAACAGCTATGAATTCACTTATTTTTTAAGACAAGAGGACAAGGTTTGTGTACAAGTTGCAAGACACATATGAAATTGTGTATCAAATGTTAATTCTAACTGAATAAATTCAAGTTATTTATCACATCAGGAGTTTGAGCTTTCTGAATTATTTATAATGGATGGGTGTAATACGTTTATTTCAGTGGATAGGTATAATACGTAGTTGCGTACTTTTATCACTAATGTGTTAATATACACAGATACACAGTAAATCTTTCGAGTATTATGCATTCGATTGAATTAATTTCATAGATTAGTCATATGAGTTTTATCCACATTTTCAGTGTTTGGTCTACTCCAATTAGTCCTTATCACCGCTTATAAGTAAACTTAAAACACTTTAATGACATGTTTTGTAAGTACATAAATTAAGGAATTACAGATATTTTTTTCATTTCCTTGGCATTCTTGATTTCATGAAGTTATTTTGTAGTCTTATTTTATATGACGTCTCACATTTAGATGAATAAAGAATTGGGTTAGGAATTTAAAAACCAAATGATTTCAAATTTAAAAACCAAATGCTTTAAAAACCAATTGAATTCAAATACCTGAAAAAATAATTTGGTACCACCAGCACGAACTATTTAATTATTCATTTTTTTTTGAAATTCTATTCATGAGTATACCTCCCTCTAGTAAGACAATCACGTTTATTTACAAAAGAGGCAAAATCGCTAAAGTCGGATGGCACTGACTTGCCATAGCGATTGCCATTACTCGGTATTGAATTATTAATTTGTATAATCTGATTACTTCTTTAATGTCTCTTACATAATACGGCTAGATAATTTCCTAGGCGATGCTTGCAACTTAAAAGTCAATATGCTGGACCATTTTTTTTTTTTGCTAAAAGCAAAAAATTCTGAGAAAGAGACAAATGAAAGCAGAAGGAAGTTGTTTCATGACTAATGATTAGTTCTAAAGAATATAGTTATCGTCCAAAAAACTTGAAAAACTAATTTATACTTTATTATCAGTCAAGTAGTCTTAGTTGCTGAAATCTTTGTTTTGACATCTGTTAACAAGGAACAGAAAGAAATATTAAAAGTTCGCTTTTAAAAATTTTATGAGCAATAAATAAGTATCCATCCAGTGCAAATTCTTGTGCAGTATTTTTTTTTTTAAATAAGAAGGATTAAACGAATATAAGATGCCGAAGCACATTAAAGTTTGTCGGTCAGACTAAATAATATCACTGATAAGTTTTAATACCAATGAAATTATTCTTTCCTTTTTTATATTTAAACTGGAAAAATCTCGTTATATCATTAATTGATTAATGGAATTGCTCTTTAGTTCTTTTTTAATCCTATTCATTAATAGGTATTTTTTTTTTTGGCTTGAAAAAATCTCAGCAATTTTGTTCATCCATTAATAATATAACGAGGTTTTCTTCAGCCTAAATAATATATATATATAACTTCTTGTCTTTGGAATGTTTTCATATATACATAATCGAATAAGTTTTTTTAAAAATCAACATTCTGACCTGTGCTTGCATATTTTCTCTATGTACGATTCTAACGAACACCGCAAACATTCATATCCATGATCTTGCGTTTATCATTAGTGTCATCTTTCAGATGACTTGACGATCCTTTTGTTTTGATCTTAGCAATGGCACAATATGCAAACATATCCCGATAACGTTCAGAAGTTACAGATGACTTTCATTTGATTCCATGTCTTTTTTCTTGCTAATAGAGCTTAGGGGCTCTACTTCATAAAACTAGTTATTCTAGTATCCAAGCCTAAAAATTCGGTAGGTAGCATAGTCAACTTTGAAGTCAAGTTACAAAACCACCAATTTAGTTGCTCTCATTTCCGAATCAGTAAATGCTGCAAAGAATTCCATGTAATGGTCATAACGAAGAACGCAAAACTTTTAACAAAAATTATGCACAATGACTGAAGAAAACATCTGATTATTCAAAACAAATAAACCATTGCAAATTTTTAAAACATATTTACAAAGAAAACAATGGTTCTTAAAACATATTCACAGAGAAAACAATGATTCTTAAAACATATTCACAAGCTGTTTTTTTAAGTTATTTTAAAATTACAATTAAAACTCAGGAGGAACGAAGGACAAAATGGGTGGGAAAGTTCCACGTAATCCACACGGACGTTATACACAATGCGAATTAAAACATTTAAATCCAATACGAAATAAAGGTTAAAATCATGTAGTCAAGAGGAGATTCAAAAAACATAAAAAGACAGATAGTAGAAATATGCAAAGACTAAAGAAAAGGAAGAGGGAGTTTAGGAAGGATGGGGTACATTTCACAATTTCTATTCACAAATACATTCACTGAAATAATTCAAATGAATGGAGGATGACATGGTGGAAGATTAGCTTGCAAAATGTACTGCTGCAACAAGTGCTGAAGCGGAAGCGCTTCACGTACTCCTAAAACCGATATGAATAAGAATAATGGTTTTTTTTTTCAAAAATTGTATTATTGTAGGCAAATGTGCATTGCGCATAATAATGCTAGAGAGTTTAACTTTTAGCTGTGCGTGATAATCAGCCTAGTATCATGTATGTCCTTCACGTATAATGATATACAAAAATGTGTAACTGGCCGTCACGTTGCGCATACTGCTAAATGTTCTAATTTAAATCGATTCAGAATTTCAGAACTTACTGCAGTGGCATAATTGTTGGTGATTATTTGAACGAAGGCCGCTGTGATTGTGATTTAGGTGATCCATGGATGGATTTAAGAAAGGGAATGCAGTGATACAGTTCGAAATGTTTCTCATTGGGCTTCCTGGCTTTGTTTTGGTCATTGGTCTATGATGTAGCAAGCCGCGTCGTTTGTGCACATCATTCCAGCACGGTTCGCACAAATAGATGAGGCAGCAAAGTTCTGGACATAAATATCGAGCATCAGAAATGTTGCACATCTCGCATTGAGCACCGTCCATCAGATATGGCTTTATCTCTATCTAAAATTTCATACTGTAACGATAAAAAAGAATAAATTTCGTTTCTATTATGTTGAAAGGAAACAGTTGCACTACATTTCAGTAAACTGGAAAGTTCGATCCTGTAAAAAAATAGGGATATCTTGAATGCTCATGATATTCCAAAAGTTGTAATATAACCACATAGCGGAAAATATTAGTTCCATGTTTGTATGTCACAGATAATTATCTGAGACAATTTGTCTGCATCTCTTGATATTTGGAGAAAAAATTGCTTTATATAATTTAAGGATTCTATTCCTCTTATCAATTAACTGTTGTCCTTCTTGCCTTTCTTGTTGCTGTTTTTTCTTACTTTTTCAGTTGTTGTTTGCCGTTTTTCCTCACTTTTTTCCGTCAATCTATACCTTTTAACTGCCATTTTATCGTCATAATAACTGGAAATTTATAATAATGACTTACTTCTTTCACCTGATCAGATGTCGTTAATGTTATCAGGCGCATTGCAATCGCTTGAAGATAGGATTCACGGCTATCAAAAACCACTTGAGCTGCTCCTTTTGGATACTTCGTATCAGCATCGACCTCCAATGAAACATATACAATGTCACCGATAGTCTGCTGAAGTAGCATTGCCAGTTCCGCTGAAATATCAGAAAAATATTTTAAATGATAATTGTTGAATTTAAAAACAAACAACATGCCGCTTACACTAACCTCGAGGTTTGAGGTTGCATACAATCCCAATTATTTTTAAAGAGTAATGAAGGAACTCGTTTGACTTTTTTTTTACTTCGAAATTTACCTCAAACAAAGATAAAAACGACAGCAGGATCGCGTAATTGTAAAGAGATAATGTAAGAAAAGTTTTCTTTTTTATGATTTCCTCTAGCTGATATAAGCTGATTCAAAACGTTGAAGGAATAAAAAATCTAAGGACAGAAAAAATAGAAGCATTTGTCAGTGCAAATTACAAGTGCACAGATCAGCCTTAAATTAAATTTCATCCTAAAACCAACAAGAAGTTAACGACTAACCTGCAGTTGTTGTACGCGGTACACCACCGATGAAAACGGAATATCGATCAGAAAGTAAGGGTTTGCCTGTCACATAGTATACTTGATCTTTAAGAGCCCAAGGTCTTACTTGCACCTGCAATTTTACTATTTATCAGCTCATTTTCACCGCCCTTTACGAATGAAATTTACTCTTTTAAATATTTTAAATCATAAACTAACCGCTTTGATGTCTTTTTCGCCATTTTTCAAAACGATATTCAGCTTTCCCTGCTTATAAATGCACCGATGAACTAGATATTCGACAGAACGGTCGCTGATGAAAACCACAAAAGCATATCCTGAAATCAGCTCTCTTAATACTTCGAAAGGTAATTTTGTACGAAATCAGACTAATGAACAACGGTTTCTTCGAGCCGCTGAAACATACTACAGACGTGCAAAATACGTTGGTCCACTCGCTCGCGTAACATGAGCTGATCTGGCAAATAATGCCCATATGTATATTCTAGTTAAAGCAAAATAGCTCTGCCAAATGTTTCCAAATGTATCAAACTTGTGAAAAAAAATACGTATCCGTTTATATGCTCTGTTCTGTGCAAACTTTTTTAAGTTTTAGACTGTATTTTCGAAAAAAGAAAAAAAAAGTAGACCATGTTGTAAACTGGCCTTCATTTTCAAAAAGCTTAGTTAACATTATCGAAAATCCGGATAACTTACATGCATTCTTTCTCCTCCTTCTTCCATCAACTTTATTAATAGCCAACTTACTCTTCGATTATTTGAAACCAAAGAGAAAATAATAAGTGAGCAAGCATTAAATTGTCAAAATCTTTCACATTTAAAAATTCGCACAACATAACTACTAAAAGAATATTATGAAGAACTAGCCGTTTGGCGGAATATCACCTCCAGTACATTTGCGATGCGGCCAGTCAACTCTGTTTGCCCCAAATTGTTCGAAAAATGAAGAAATTAAATCTAAAATATGACAACGGATCAGAAGAAATAACTCACAAGGGTAGAAATTTTAAAATTTTTTGTAGAGTCATAAAGAAACGATGAAACCGAAATCTTACCAGCATTCATATCAGGTGGAAGCCCCCCAACAAACACTTTACGAGAGAAAATTCCATTTCCTTGAAAATTCTGAGGCACTAAATCAGGAACTGAAACCTGATTGTCGTTGGTATCATAGCTCCAGATGTTTTTCATTTGCGCAACTGCTGCTGGAAATTAATTTGCTTTTCAAACTTTGAAAAAAAAAAACATCTCTTTCCAGAAGATTTGAAACAATATTTTGAGCATTCACTACCTATATCTTTTCCAAATTCATCTTAACAAGGTGCAATGATAATGGCTCTAGTATGTTGCAGCACAAGATAAGAAACTTCAGAAGCTTTAAACATTTTGGAAAAACAATAATCATATGATATGTCATTCTATTATGAATCAAAAGAACGATATAATGAAAAATATTTCTTTCAGAATGTCATTTCTGTACACAGCTGCACTCAATATTCACTTCATAAAATACACTAAAACACTCATTACCGTAACCACCGAAACCCTCGTTTCCAAAAATGTCATAGTTTTTCGTAGTTGCTGATGCATTTGTTCTTCCAAAATCGCCTTAAGTAAACCAAAAATGTTAAAAATAAGTTTACAGTTGGAAAACTTATTATGAATTATAACCCGGCATTTGATATCTACTTTTTGCCATTTTCAGTTTCTCTAATGTTGTAAGAAAACATTTCAATCCTTTTGCTTTTCCGAGCATATTCTATAACAAACCAATCACAGGAAAATTTAATGCAAGTATAAAATAGGAAAAAGTACCTGGTATTACACCTGGATCAACATCAGTCGTATTTTCTGCCTTCTCCATAATAGCAGTTAATTTCGTGTCAGTATCTTTAAAATAACAACTTTATTGGTTTCGAAAAAAAATTAATTTCGATTACGAATATTCTCGAATAAAGAAAATAGACTAGCTGCATTTCTTAAAATCTCTCAACTGTATCTGATATCTGGAAAAGGGACATTCCCAAAAAATTCTCACAAATTTAAATAGACAATTTATAGGAGAAAAAGGGAGATTTTTGAAAAATTTTCCCTATCACCTCAGGAAGAATTTTAAACGAAATTGAAACAAAAAATTTAATTTTGCTTAAAATCCTTAGTTTTTAATTCTAGCAATATGCACTCACGCGACGCTTCCCTCGTCCCCTCTGTTTGATAATAATACTCTAATAGTATAAAAAATAACTACCAAAATGCACCCTGTCATTGATACCATTCTAAACATCCTATTGAAATTACACGCAATTGGCCTGCTAATGCATATGTGCAAAATCTCATGTGAGCAGACATGTCCACAGAATACTGAAACACATAATCAACGCAAGAATTGCATGAGTACGTGTACACTAACACGCAAGACACCATGCATTATATTCCATTAACCCCACAGACACACACGACCATTCACTCTGCTGCCAGCTGTAAGGAATGAACCTAAAATAGCAGTTATCGCTGCCAGTCTACTTCAAGATTTCCCGCCAAAAGTGACGGCTATATATAGGTTCTTCTAGAACATTCCGCAGGTTATCCTGAAACTATTGGCGCCAATTTCTTTAATCGATAACTGCCTGTATATGTATATATATATAGTCATCTGTTTCATTCCATGACTCCATACTGACTGCATATTTACACGTGTACTTACACGTAGTACACTTACGCCTTATCGATCCTTAATAGATGAAAAAATCATGCACACTAAAATATCCTCCTTTCTGTTTTCAAATCCTTTGCTTATTTTATTACTAGAATTTTTTATCAACATTATCTCACATGAATAAAAACCGTACAATGAACAAATTTTTCTTTCTAATCTTTCAAAATTCATAAATTATGTTCAAAGAATTGTTTAGTTTAAATTGTGCTAAATGTCTAAGAAAAAAGAAGGAAATGACGAGTGCTTACTTTGAGCACTGTGGTTGAAGTTGCTAAACTACCTGTTATAATTCTTTTTTTTTGAATCTGTTCCATTAGTACCTTTTTACATGCTTCAGGTTCGTGCCACACCTTAATTTTTTTTCTCACTTTAGTTTCAAATAAACTAAACATCTGATTATGTATTCACCTATCACTTTGTACACAATTTTTAACAATTTAATAAAGTTTGTTTTTAATTCATAATATTCACTTGTTTTCTTCAATTGCATTGT